GCGGTCGGTAGTATCCCTGAGCCCGCGCCGCCACGCGCGTAGCGAGGGGGCTGGCCCGGGAACCGGACTCGCTGTCGTAACGGCGGCGGCGCCTCCAGGCGGCCCTCGGAAACGCTCGGACGGACGTGCCGGCCCATCCGCTATCAGCGCGCAGTGCCGGCCAGGCACGGCTGCGCCATCGTCTCGGTTCACTTCTTTCCCTTGCCTTTCCCCTTTCCTTTGCTCTCGCCGTCCTTCCCCGAATATTGTCCTTTGCCCTTGTTGCCGATGATCCTGGCCTGCAGCGCCTCCTCGCACGTCGTCATGAGCTCCTCGTCCCTGTCGACCAATGTCATGCCCTCTGGCGGGAGCAACTCCAGCCACTGCGCCCTGTTCCAGCTGTTCTGGTCCTTCACCGCCTTCTCGAGAGCCTTGAGGCGCTGGCACAGCAGGTCTGCCGCCGCACCCGCCTCGCGCTTGGCCAGCAGGTCGAGGGCCCGGCACAGAGTGCGTGCTTCCCTGGAGTTTCGAAGGCCCATGTCCCGACGCGCTGGACTCAGCACGACGTGAAAGTACGTCGAGGCGACTGGTGGCACGGAGTCGTCCTTGACTACCGTCGCCTCCCCTCCAGTGCGCACCATCTTGTCCATCTTCGTCATCAGACGGAATGCGAGTTGGCCCGGACGCGCCTGGGAGAACTCCACCAGGCGCTGATGGGAGTGGCGCCCGGCTGGAGGGGAGGCATCGCGAAGAAGCTCCTCGCCGCCCTTGCTGGCCTGCCCGGACCGCGCGACGTGCCCCGAACCGAAAGGCCCACGATCCCACCGGTCCGTCGAGCGGCGGCCACGGCGGCGACGACTGTCTGAGCGCCGACGGCGACTCCGGCTCCGTGGGGATCACCGTGCGCTCCTCGAGGGCTGTCCTGGGCTCCGGCTCCGCGGAGTACGCCGTGCCCTCCTCCTCGAGCGGCTGCGCCCCTTCCTGCTCTCAGGGGATCGCCGCCCACCTGCCTCGGCAAGCGTCTTCGCCGCGCCGACCTGGGCCCAGCCTCTCCCGCAGACCCCACACTCTGCGCGGTCGAGGCCACAAGTGCAGAGGTCTCCACTGCGGCCCTGGGGCGGCCGATCTTCCTGAGGCCGGGGGTGGTCCACCACTCCTCCGAAAGGATCGCGGTGTTCATGGCGACGCCGGCCTCGAGAGGGTGATCTCCGAGCCTCCTCCCTCTGCTCATCCTGCCTCTTCCTCCTCACGTCGTCGCGGTTCCGCCTGACGCCGACCTCCTCACGGAGATCGTCGAAGGCCTCCTCAAACCCTCCTCGAGGCCTGGCGGTTCTCTTCGGCCTCGCTCCTGCGGCCGCCTCGTCGAAGAGCTCGGAATTTCGACCTTCACGTCCCTCTCCCTGCACCTCGGGCTCCTTCTCCTTGGCCTCCTCCTTGTCCTTCTCCTTCTCCTGCTCCTCCTGCTTCATCAACTTCTCCTCGAACTTACGCCGGGAGGGCCCTTTTAGCCACCTCAGGTTCTTGGCCTCCTCCTCCGTGATGTTGCGGAGCTCGTCCAGGTGAACGATGGGCTCCTCGCGATCCTTCCTCCACGCTCGCCTGCGCTGGCAGTCGCGGGCGGGCTCCAGGCACAAATGGTACCACCCCTCTGCGTCATGACCCCCCTCCTGCATCCACCAGGCGCAGTACTCGTCCTGCGCCCCAGGTACTCCATGCGCGACTCACCCCCAAACCCGGCGCCCACGAGGCACCGGAGTAACACGGCGCCCTGGGGCGCGCCGTTCTCGACGTGGACGTTGGCCTCGTACAGCTTCCCCACCTCGACCACGCTCTCCTTGGCGAAGTCGGGATCGCGAGTCGCCGAGATCCAAGGGCCTGGCATTGCGGAAACCCCCTCCCAGGGGACAACCCCCGCCTGGCGCCCAGACGGGAGGCGCTGGCGCGGCGCCCGCACCAGCGGCCGAACTCCCCTGCCGATCCCGAGGAGGGAGCGGGGGGGTGCGAGCCTCGCGCGCGAGGCGGGGGGCGCTTTAGGTTCCGTGTGGACCTTGATCCAAACAGCTATGGAATGAGGAGGGTGCGCCACTATTGACGGTCCGCTCGCTCCCTCTCGCTTCCCTCGTGCCAAGTAGTAGTAGTAGTAGTAGTAGTAGTAGTAGTAGTAGTAGTAGTAGTAGTAGTAGTAGTAGTAGTAGTAGTAGTAGTAGTAGTAGTAGTAGTAGTAGTAGTAGTAGTAGTAGTAGTAGTAGTAGTAGTAGTAGTAG